GTTCTAGTGTTATGTTACATAATCATGTGTGTGTATGGGTCGTGTGTGGTGGTGTGTGTAGTTGACCGTGGAAGTAGTACTCTGTGAGTTCAGTCAGTAAAAATGTGATACTCCATTAGAGTACTCATTGAAACTATGTATTAGAAATTTATTACTAGGTGGCTATGAGCATTATCTGGCCACTTCATGATTTTAGCGTTAGCATGCTTATAAGCCGGCGATCTATTTAATCCGCCTTAACAATCCTGGTTAGCTTATATATATAGGCAAAATAATTGTTTTATATAGCGTGTTAACTAAAAAGATCACATTTGCATGCATCGACTTTAAATCACAGACTGGCAAGGATAGTTATCTAGTAGTATAGGCATTTACTCACATTACGACTGAATAAATATCATACTATGGGTAGATTACGAGACCGTTATGTTTGAATATTAAGTGATCTGACATTTCCCGTAGTAAATGTATGGCCATTTGTGCCGTTGTTTGATCATGTGCGTTTAGTTGAAGAGATGCAGCCAAGGCGAAAACATCCGGACTCACACTTGTGGGCTGGCGGGAGTTCAGTAAGCTCTGCAGTACAGGTTGCTTGATGTTTGGAAAATTAAAGGCGATGGCCATAAAAAAGTTCTCAAGTAAGAATTCTTTTTTTGAATTACAGGATTCAATTACTTCTTATATAGGATACCAACATAGATGCCATACCACAGTGCTACTAAAACTAAATTCCGTAGGTTTCGTTGTTTCATATGTTCATATATTAATGTCTTGTATTGGTAGCAGGGTGAAAATAATAGAAATTCCCTTTGCTTCCTATTCCTACACCTAACTGGGGTTTGATGGCCACCGGTGAGTGCATAGCTATGTATATGATGCATGATCTAGCACATTTGGCATCTTTGGGCCACTTCATTGGTGGTTTCAAATTTTCATGGGAAACTACTCTATGGATTTTAAGGTTCATTTCAAATCATCACTTGTAATAAATGCATAACCAACACCATTGTGTAGTAATTATTTCCTTGTTTTCATTGTGCTTACTATCCTACCAGTCTCTATGGTATTTTATTATGTTTTGATATGCATCAGAAATTTATTCTCCTGAAAAAAAAATTAAAAAAATTGAGGATAACATTTCAGCATTCTCTTAATACTTTTACATAGGGATTTCTCATCTTATTGTTAACATATCTTGACTTGTGACTAGCTTTCCAGAAACTGCTTGGTAGATCATTCTAATGACTAATGCAGTTACTTTTCAATTTCTTATCTAAAAATCTATATAATTACCTTTAAACCAATTGATGTTCCCCTTACAGTAAAGAACAAAGGATAAACATGAAACTTATTTGTGAATATATTTATTTGCAAATCATAAGTTTCTCATGTATGAAAAGTGCAAAATGTATTACATACAATATCACCTACACATGAGGACATCTACCCACATCTTCTATTCAAGACAATCATTCAAAGCCAAAGCCTAAAATATATGTGAAAACCGCTAAAAGTTGAGCAAATACAAAACACTTCAGTATATCAATATGGCTTGCAGACAGTTTAACTCCACATTTATTGTTCTCATTTCAGTAAACCAAAATTCACAACTGGTTTATTGCAATTGTCAATCCACCTAGTGTACTTAGTTGTACTGTTGAAAAAGGCAAAAAAGATTTTCCTTTAACACATTATCAATCTATACATATAAAAGTTTTTAATAAGAGTACTGACACATTTAGAAGCTTCTCTGAAATCATCTTTGATAGTACGTAGTTAGTGGACCTTGAATTCTAAAAAGTTTATGTTAAAACAGTACTCCTATAATGTTTACAACACTGAGACTTCACTAATCCTAAATGCCTCTCATTTGCCTCAACCAATCTGGATATAACTATTCCATTTTAGCTGAGGAATCATCAGCATTTTGCAGTTTGATTTCTACAAGAAATCCTTCTCTATGGTTATTTTTTTATTTTCTTATCTTTATCTATATCTATTTCATTAATAAGTGCCCTAAAGAAGATACAATATATTTTTTCTAATCTCTCAAATGTCTTCCAACACTTTACTTACTGGTATTATTAACACCCAAAGAAATTTAAATAAGTTCTATGATATAAAATCTTGTAGTTTCATGAATAAAAATAATTTCTCTGTCTGTAGAGACCTAACACAAAAGCCTAATGTATCCAAAAACTGGGAATAAACAAATATATTCAACAAATTGAAAGATTTATCCAGCTCCATAATCCACTTTACTAAGAAACAGAGTAATCTATATTATTATTCTTTCCCGCCAGTCCCTACTACTTCAAGACTTTTGTCTGGGTGTGTTTATGCCTTTCCCTCTTAGCTTTTTAACCAATAGATAGTGAAGTAGATGACAAGTGTTACAATTATATATTTTTTAAATGTAATTCAAATATAACAGATTTTATCCACTTCCACCAAATGCCCTCCACCACTGAGTTGAATTCCTGCAGGAATTGAAACAAAAACTATTAAAGGATAATTGTATTCCTATCAATCTGTATATACTATTAAATATTTATAACAGGTCTAATTTGTTGGCTAAATTGATACTTTCACAGGTGAGAGGAAAGGCAAAAAAAATTATTCATGGTTTTCGGATCTGTTGAGGTTTCAAGTTTGACTCAAAATGGCAGAGATTTTGTGTTTCCCTTATCAATATGGCTGTGTTTCATTGCCTTTACATACTTCTTCAAAAGGCATCCACCCTAGAGCAGAATAATCAGCTAAGAAACATGGAAAAGGTCAACAGCAATGATGAAAGGACAGAAAAGTGTGCACACACTAATAGACCTAATGGTTAAGGCAGTTATGGTGATGTTAATTTTTCTCTCCAACATTATATTCTCTGAAATTTGAAAGTAATCCAATTTGAGTTCTGTTGTCTTATTCAGGACAATACAAGCCTTCTCTGTGATAACTAACCAGAACTGGTGTAAAATGGTCAACATTAAAATTGATTTTTCTTTCTCTGAGGGGGAGGTGGTGATGAGGGGGCGAGGGAATAATGGGGGCTAAGGGAATAAAAACAGAGAGAGAGAGAGAGAAGTAAGAGAGAGAGAGAGAAGAGTAAGAGATAAGAAGAAGAGTAAGAGGAGAGAGGAGAGAGGAGTGGTGAGTGTGTGTGGATTGGGTAGTGTGTTGGTGGTGTTGTGTGTGGTGATGTGTGAGTGTGAGTGTGATGGTAGGGATGTAGAGAAGTAAGTAAGTAGTAGTAGATAGAGAAGAGAATGAATATAGATGAAGTAAAGAGTATATGAGAAAGAGAAGATGAATAGAAGTAAGTAAGTAGGTAAGATATATAATAAACATTATATATGGTAATATATATATTATATATATATAAAGCATATAATACATATATATACATATATATAATATTATATATATATATATACTAATATATACATATATATAATATAATTTATATATATATATATATAATGAGAGAGAGGAGAGAGAGAGAGAGAGAGAGAGAGAGAGAGAGAGAGAGAGAGAGAGAGAGAGAGAGAGAGAGAGAGAGAGAGAATCACACATAGAGAAGGGGACAGAAACAGACAGACAGTGACAAACATAACTTGCTTAACATTAACAAAATTTTTGGCAATGATTCTTTTAACAATACAACAGAAAAAGTTAATTTCAGTGGTTACAAATCCACATAGCTATCTGTACTCTACTCTCCTGAATTCTAATACATTAAAACTACTCTAACAACAATACATAAACACTATAATTAAAGAAAGAAAGAAAAAAAAAAACATCCAGTGTCACAAATACTTTCCGCAGTCATTCCATCACTCATGACTAGTTTCACATATATAGACTTTTCATCTGCAGCAACAGACTTCAATTCTGTAATGAATAACAACACTGCAAAAATTATTGCATATTGCGAACTTTACCTGAAATTACTTACAACACTACTTCATAAAAATGCCTCCTTTGATTTGTGTTTACAAAGGCAAATAAGGGCTGCCAAGGGACTAGAATTTTTACAACTGTATGATAAACATAAAAATGGTCACTTTGTACATTCGTATGATATGATGTGATTCTGAGAGCCAAATGCAAGTAACAGCATATCGCATATGCTTTCTGGGAAAGAATGAAAAGGTTCATCAATATTGTCACCAAGTTAAACACATTCTAAAACAAAAACAGAATAAAAGAGGTGAGAGGAATGAAACAGATTCCTATTAATCAAGAGACAATACCTGATCCCATACTTATTGTTATTAAGCATAATTTTTGTATACATTACACCAGATTCAGCATTATAAAAATGGGCTTTACCAAAAATGCCACCACTGATGCTCTGATCCAGTCAAACCCTAATCTTGCTTCTCGACGAGCCATGATTACACATTTCACTTTGTGCAATGAGTGCCGATGCCTAATATAATTACCAATTAAAGAGGCCCAACCTAACCCACTCATTTCATGAATGTGAATGGTGGGGGCCTAGTCATCAAGACTACAACATACTGTATAAGGCCAATGCTGTGAAGACTGGTGTACTATTGGCATAAAAAAAGAAAGAGAAAAAAAAAACTGCACATTCAACATTTCATACTTATAGGTTTCTCCTCATTAGTTTACTCATATGCTGCTTTTTTAACTAGACTAAATTCTCAATATCTTTTTTTTTAACATTTAGAAATTCATTGTAGTTAATCACAATTTCCAATCAACAGACACACCCAACACTGCCTGGTTAAATTCATGGAAATAATGGTTATTTTGACCATTAGAATATACCAAAGAAAGCCAAAAAGACTGGTATATTATAATATCACAGACCATAGAAAAATTACTCTATTTAGCCTTTGCTTTGCCTAAAGTTTATTCATTGGCCTTACAAAGTAAAATAGCTAAAACTATTGCCCTTTCTCTAGGAACTACTGTGAATACAGGATATCACATTGTACAACAATCTTTGTTTGACTATACTCTACAGGTTTTTC